AAATAGGGGGAGTACGAGTCATGGTTCATCGAGGGTTTCGTTACGGGCAATGCAAGCACATTCCAGGTACCTTTTCCCTTCATAGAGCACCAACAATAGAGTGCGTCGAAGAACTGTTTCAAGAAGCAATGACAGAAAGAAAAGAATACGAACTAGCACAACTACGGAGTGCGAGAATACTATCCTATAATGGTACTAACACTAGCCATGTGCATGAACATAATCAAATTTCTTAAGTAGAGTTTCTTTCCATTTGCTTCACGAAGGCTTGGCTGTTTGGGGTGGTTATAAATGAAGGATAGACAACCTTCATTTATAACCTCTTTGCGTGGTTGTCAAATTAGAGAACAATGACTTGCACTGAGATATAGTAAAACAGTGATGGTTTGTTGAGAAGAGAAGCTTGGAGCGCAACTGGAAACAGCAAGGGATCAAACTCGTCATCATCGTCTCTTGGCCGATAGGGCAAAATATTCCACCGTTTCTATTGAGGTATAATTATTCGTCTAACGTTAAGGGAAAGAAAAAATAATCAGTTCGGTAGTGCGTGTAAATCAGGCGACTGTATTCATAAGCTCTACCCTCCGACATCTGCACGAGCTGCGCGCGGGTAACACATATGGAAGGTTACCAGAATTAATAAAATGATCACCAAACGGAAAGTAGTTCCAATTTTTAATTAAATTCTCCCACCTAATTCTTTGAAAAACTATGCGGGGATCAGTCGTGAGAATTTGTAAAAGCATATCATAGATTAAAGAGATAAAGAACAGTTGCGAAAAAAGCTTGGCAAAAATTCAGCAGCTTTAATTAATATTAAAAACTATCGTTAACACAAAATTCAATTGATGCTTATTAATGACGGGTTCAATAAACTTACGAGTACCTTGTTTAGTGTGAAAAAACAAGACACTATACAGCATTATTAATTTCAATCTCTTTTTTCAGGCTTTTTTTAGCAACTGCACAACGCGCAAACAACAGAAAATAAAGAGTGTGTGATTAGAAACGTACTGGTAAACACTGGACAAAAATCATAATGAACGACTTTACATTTGCTTCTGCCATTACTGAAATGAAATCATAACTGTCATGAATTCCATATAAGCCTTGCTTAGTTGCTATAGCCTTGACAGCTGAATGGGATAAATGTTTACCAGGATTGAATTAAGTGTATAAAAGACAGCAAGCACACTTATGAACAGAAATTTAATATAAATCGTGTCAATTGGTGCTTCCAAGTACTAAAAGTCGTAGTAATAAAACTTTTCGAACCGTTTGTAGTTCGGATAGTGTTTTTTTGTCGGGCGGGACGAAAATAAATTGCGATCGTTCCTTCAAATTCGTGGCATAAACTAGACGCAAAGTTGAACGAGTCGAAGCAACAAAAAACGGACATATATTTTCAGTCGATTTAGGCCTGGATATAGCTTTATTCTATTGAACAAGAGGAAGCAATGGAGGAAAGATGAAACCAAAGGAACTGAAACTGTTAATTCCAGGGTTCGTACCCTTTTTTGAACAAAACATTCAAGACTTTTGAAGGACTTTCAAGAACACATTTTCTAGGACTACATTTAGTGCAAAAAAAGAGCGTTGAGTCTACGTCTTTTTTTAGTTCTTCCACACCAGGAGAATTTTATCCCGGAGGTCTTTCTGTTTGTTCCTTTTCCTTTCGGCAGTTCTCATTAATCTATTACTGTAAGTTAGCATGGCAATTTTCAAGGCCTTGAAAGGCCTTGAATTTTTATTTTAAAATTCAAGGACTTATAAAGGATTTTTAAGGTGCGTAAGAACCCGGAGTTTTGACCAAAATATCGGTCGTTTTCTTTTCTCAAATTATACTCTGATTTTATTGTTAAGCCATTAAACAGCTCATCAAAGGTCGTAGCGATCTTTGTGAGAGAGACTTCACTTTACTTTAAGGCTGGTTATCATTTGATTGTTGCCATCGCTATGATCGTTCAGATCGCTACTGGGATAATGGTTAAATAAAGGTTTAAAGTAGTTTTTCAACCATTCTAGCTATGGCACTGTTCTGTGGAAGCTATAACCATTGGCTCAAAAACGTTGCACTGGAAACTGGCCGGCTTAAAATTCGTCGCCCAAAACAGTCCCAGTCTCACATGTACCCTCAGAACCGAAAAAAAGAAAAAAAAAAAAGATCGCGTGACTGAAGCAATTGTTAAGACAACACTCCATGAAATGGATGTCGGCACTACGCTGAGGCCAGCTTCAAGTAATGGCCACTATCGCTTTGATTGTTTAGAAAGCTAGACATTTTTTATCGACCATAGTAGCCTTGTTCCCTCGGCAATCACAGATGTGACGTCACCCCTCACGCTTGTCCTGGGAACGAATCGAGAACGAGCCGAGGATAGGACGTCTATCAGGCTNGAACGAATCGAGAACGAGCCGAGGATAGGACGCCTATCAGGCTTGGTTCCAAGCCCCCTCTGCTAACTCGGATAGCGCGAACTGGCCTGGGGACGAGGCTGCGACCGTGGTAATCGTGTGAAAAAAATGGCTACTGTTGCCATGTGACACTATTAGTTCTTTGCACTTATCATTTTACTTTTTTGTATCTCAATGTTTTTTATTTTTATTTTTTTTATGCTGTTTCTGTTGTTATAATGACTCGCAAAAAAATATAAGCGCCAAAAATTCCGGCGAAAAACTTTAGTCTACAGACAAATTACTGTATTGATTGTGGGGGAAAAAGTTTGGGAGACAAAGTGGAATAAATGTAAAGTAGAATGACACTTCCGTAATTACTATTCACGTTATCTTTTCCATTTGAGAGTTTCCCTTGTAGCTTGTCTACAAACGTACCCAAATTAACTTAAAATTGTTCAGTATCAATTGCCGCAACATGCTGCGGAAAACAACCAAAACTTCAACGATAATTGCCGGTTGAAAAAAACAGTATCAACTAATTTTCAAAAATTAGTTCCCACAAACATAAACACCAGCCGTTCACAAAATTTAACTCACGTCCAAATTAACTAAAGAAGGGGAACCGTAAGTGTCGGTCCATAAGAAGGGCTCAGCCTAGTCCCCTAGCATTCTCTGTTTCGGTCAAGCCTGGACACCAATCTCGTCAGGCAAAAAGACACTGGGGAAGAGGTTGACCTGGACCCTTCTGTGAGCCGTGATGTCACCAAGAGAGACTTAAGCCCTATTCACACCAGCAACTGAAAACATGTTTCTTTAAACCAAGTGAAACAAGGTGGAAATGAGTCGCGGAAACCGAACATGGGAGTGCTTTCTCCGACTGACAAGATTAAAATGTGTAGTTCCAGAAAATATCCACCCTCCCCCCACCCCCCTGGAATTTTCATTCCAGGGGGTGCTTGTCATAGGAAATAAGAAAAAATATCTCTCACCCTGACAACGGGGCAAGAGAGAACACCTGGGGACTACGCTGGCTTCTGCAACCTCGTCCCTCCCCTGGAGACAAGGTTGTGCCTTCTGCTGATGTCGTTAAGTGCTGGGTTACTCACCGCTTTATCCAAGCACACAGGTGATGGAACATGCTCAAGATCAAGAAAAGGGTGGGCAAAGAAGTCATCAAAAGATATTCTGGCCAAAGGATCCCGTTGTAGTAGAGCTAAAAGAAGATCCTGGCAGTCTGGGCTCAACTGAGATCCAGGAGGCAGCTATAGATACAAGAACAAAACAAGATAATTAAAGCTACAGTGTACGAGCAAACGGACGCAACAACTCCCGAGATTATTGGGCCAACAATGTTGGGAGTTATTGCGGAGTGTTAGCAGCGGTGAGCAAACGGATGCAACAACGCCCAACAACGTTGGGACCTGCAGTGCATCGTGGGAAGGATATAACCCATAAAACTTTGGAGACCAAATGTATTGCGCGTGCATGGCCCCAAAAATGTTGGAAGAGCTGTACAAACGGATCCAACATTGTTGCGCTACGCTTCGGCGATCATGGAACAAAAGAAATGTTGGAAGTTGTTGGCTCAAACGTTTTACTGCGCACCAACTCCCAACAACATGTAACAGGGTGTGCAAACGGACGCAACATGCAACAGCCAACAATGTTGCGTTCGTTTGCACAGGGCTTAAGTACGAGAGGTGACTCAAATTTTCCGCCACATTGATACGAAAAATAAAATGACTGGGATAACCAAGGCAATAAGGAATATATAAGGATTACCTTTCTGGTGAATAAATAAATCAATCAACAAATAAAAATTTCAATGAAAGAATTATTTTAAAATTAATATGTGCATGGTTTTTAAATCTAAAAATGACCAAAATTTTGACGACGATGCGCTAAAATTGGGTGAGAAAACTTTACAAAGAATAAAACTGAAGAGCGATCGAGTCACTTACAGCTCGAAGAATACGTGGGAAGAATGGAATATTTCAGCCGTTGATTTCCAAATTATAACTGAACGGGATGCAGTAATTGTTCATACGTATTGTACGACTGCAGTCGGTTTATTTGATATAACTAGCGCTAAGTGAATCGCGTCCCGCGTGACGCTAAACTTTTCGAGTGCATTGTTTTCAGCACCCAAAATCGCCGCACTTCTTTTCTGCACACTTTCGATCTCATATACCTAATATCCAATTTGAGTCGGGTAAATGGCTGAATCCGCAAGTGGGTAAGATAAAGCTAATCCTGCGTTTTAATTGGCTACCCGAACAGGCAAGGTGGGCTCATCTTGCCCGCACGGGATTTCCCGCGTTGGTCCCGCAAGAACAGAATCTTTCCAAAGGGTTCGCACTCTTTTGAGCTCCTTAAATTCCATGACTTTTCCATGAGGTTTTCAGGGTTTCCATGTCCTTAGGGTTAGCTCTCATTTTCGAATATTTTCAAAAACTTCCTTGTTTTAGGGTATTTTTCGACCTAACTCACTTCAACAGACAAAAACTCTGGTGTCCACTAAAATCCATGTCATTTAATTACTCATTTCTATCTGACATTGTCCTTCCTTTGACATCTGCAGTATCTTATCTATCTGACATAAC